AATGCATAATTAGCCTATATAACCATTGGTATTTCATTCATGTTCTTGTTCTTTATGAGAAGTGGTTTTATTTAATTTTAACATAATGGCATGTTGTGTGTCACCGCAGTTAAATCGGTGCCTATCATGATAAAACCTTAATATCAAAATGAGTTTGGACATTTTAGAGAAATGCTTAATAAATGCACTGTAACTAAACCCATTAGATTTTAGCCGACTATATTTACTGTAGATTTAGTCGACTAAAACTAAAAACAATTCAGATGACTAAAACCAAATGGCATTTTAGTCAAAAGACTATGACTAAAACTAAATCTAAATCTGCTGTCAAAACGAACACTGCTGACCTGTGAGCTCCGGAGCGTGTGGATGGCGTCTCTCAGCGCTCGGCACTCGTCCTCCAGCCGCTGGCTGTCTCTCCTCAGGCTCTCGCTCTCAGAGATGTGTCTGGCCTCCATGTCTAGGATCTCAGCCGCATGCAGCTCCTGCATCTGTGCGATCTTCTCCTCGTATCCCAGCATCACCTCCTGCAGCGAGGAGCTCTCCGACTGCTCTGAGGAGCTCCTGTGGTCTTTTCTTGTGCTTCTGTCCATCCCATGATGCTCTCCTTTCATTTTAGGCTGGGACGGCTCCTCGCTGGATTTGGCCAAAGCGGTCTGCAGCTCCTGAACTTTGACCTTCAGCTCAGCGATGGACGCGTCTCTGAGCTGAGAGAGACACGAGAGCTTTAAGCATCACCACTGACTGAGTTACGTCTGTGTTTCTGTGAAAGTCTGGACTGATGATTTAGACAAGCTCAGGTTTTATTCTTTAGTTCTGTGCATTATTTTGCTGCTGTCACTCCACACAATCGTGTGCTAAAATGAATTAAAATGATAAAAATGTGAAATTATAATAAATCATTTATTTAAAAATAAATCATTTAATAATTTATAATACATAATAAAATTATTAATATAATAAATAATAAATAATAATACTAATAAATTAATAAAAACTTACTTAAAACATAATAAAATCATAATAAAACATTTAATAAAAATGAATAAAATAAAAAATGGAAAATAAGTAAATTATTTTAAGTAAAAAAAAACAAACATTCCAAATAAAAATGCACTCTAAAATTAATTAAATAATAAAAAATGTACATTAAAATAAATAACCCAAACCTATGGAAATAAGACACGTACAAAAAAGTAATTAAATCATAAAAATTAAAATTATTCTAAAATAAAAACAAAATTATAAAATAATAAGAATGTAAAATTAAAATTCATAAAAAGATTTTTTTTTTATTAAAGCAAAGGAAGCACTTATCAATTAAATCATAAAACATAAAATGTAAATAAAATTATTAAAAAATAAAAACAATATAAAAAAATATTTATATTATATAATATAACATGTACAATTTAAATAATTTCAAAATTAAAATAAATCAAAATAAAATACTTAGTAAAGTTAATTAAATCAATGTAAAATTAAAATAAATATATATTTTTTAAATCCATTAAAGAGATTTAAACTCTCTTCTTAAATTTAGAAAAATAAAATGTACATACTTTAGAACACGGGTTCCTGAACATTTATATCCATGTTTTGACTATTTTATGTAAAATATTTGGAAACTCTATAACAATCCCATGAAGCTCTCGTGGTTCCTTCATCAAGCACTAGAGGGAAGCAGACAGGAAGCTCAGCTAGAAGTGGACAGGAAGTACCTCGATCTCCTCCCGGAAGCTCCTCAGCTCTTCTTTGGTGACGGCCGCTTGACCTTTGACCTCCTGCAGCTCCTGCAGCAGCTCCGCCGTGGACTGATCGCCCTCCTGTGACGTCTGCGGAGAAAGCAGCAGAGGTTAAAGGTCACAGCAAGTGCAGCTGAGCAGCAAAAACAGCTCGCAGACTAAAGCCGCACGATTTAAGGGAAAAATCGAAAAATTATGAAATAACTAATAATGTTTTTATTATTAATAATTACTGAAATAATTTCTATATAATTAAAACTAAAACAATAAAAATTCCTTTCCTTGAAATTCAAAAACATCATTTAGTTGCCAAGGCAACATTCCTAAATTTTGTTTAGTTTAATGTGATGTACTCAAACTGAAATAAAAAAAACACACACACACACACACACAGACACACAGACAGACACACAGACA